GGGCCCTCCCAGACGCACCGGGTCCCCCCCCTTCCAGGCTGGCTGCCACATCCTGTCCCAGCAGCACACCCCCCCAGGAAGAGCAGCCCAGAAACCTCCTGGGAGAGAAAGCCCAGCTCCTTCCAGCACTGCTCTTCCTAGCGGGCCACCATGGCCCCTCTTCAGGAGCGGGCTGCCCAGGCCAGCCAAGCCTTGTCCCGCAGCACAGACACCGGGATGGGCTCCAGAATGGGAGAAAACATGCCCAGACCAGCAGCTCCTGCCACAGTCCAAGCTGCCGCAGCCTGCGGGGCTCTGCCTGCAGGTGCTGCCTCGCTGCTGCTGCGCCGGCAGCTCACCAAAAAAACCAGAGAGCGGGGCAGAGCGGGCGGCCCCCAGCCTCTGGCCGCAGGGCGAACGGCGCAGGGAGAAGGCGGGCGCCACCGGGCAGAGCTGGCACAGAACCTCCACAGCTCACAGGAAGGGACCCCAAACAGGCCTGGGCTCCCTGCCGAGCCACTGCAGCCTGGGGCCTGACAGGCACCGCTGGGCCGGTGGAGGCACAGCTGCAAAGCCCAGTGCCCCTCGGCCCTGGCAGGTGGGCCTGGGACGTGGCACCACAGCGTGATGGGAAACGTTGCTGGCAGCTGGGAGCAGGCTGATGGCATGTCAGCCCTGTCCCCCACTCCCAGGGCTCTCAGTGGAGACCCGGCCCAGAGGGATGCGTCCTGGGCTGCTCTCCCAGTTCCCCCTGCACAGCAGCAGCCCTGGCCTGACACGTCCTTTGCTCTGGCTTCAGCTCTAAGACACTTCCACGCAGACAGCACCTGCATGAGGCCGCCCCAGTGTCCCCGCAGTGCAGTCACCCTCAGGGGGGCATGGCCCCAGCCCCCACAGATCTTCCTCCTCCCCAGAGGACTTGGGGCTCCCTGTCCCCAGAGCCCTGTGTACCTACCACCCCGTGCAGGGCTCCTTTCAGGCGGCAGGACAAGGCACCCACTGGCTCCAGCAGCAGCCACCTTCCCCACCCGATGCAGCTTGTGGCAGCTGCTCACAGCAAGGTCCTGACACCACAGCCATGAGTTGTGCAATTTCCTCTGGGATTTTGTCCCTCGCTTCCTCCCAGCAGAGCCAGTCCAGCCTAGTGGCAGCACCCCACTCTTGGGGCAAAAGACCCCTGGGCATGTGTGCAGCCCAGCAGCGACTGGCAGAGCCACGCGGGCTCTGCTCCAGCAGCACCAGCCTCACCTCGCTGGAGCAGGGCCAGTCCAACTCCCCATGCGTGCACAGGGGCCGGGTGGCATCCCTCCGGGCCAGTCCTGCTGCACCTGCTCCCGTGGGATCCCCTTGGCCCCCTGCTTGGTCATGGCAGCCAGTGCCAGCTCCATTGGCAAAGCCCCCACTTGCTGCCAGCCCAGGGGCCAGCACCCTGCCCACAGCACAGGGCCAAGAAAAGCCCCACAGATCAGCCTGTGCCGAGAGCGTGGGACAGCCAGCATCGTGCTACAACAGTGGCATCAAGAAGCACTGGCCTGCAAGAAGCAGCCTGCCAACAGAGACATGTCCTGCTGACAGCACCGCGCTGGCAAGCAGGAGCCCAGCCACTGGCCCGCTTGGCCCTGCGGCTCTCGGACAAGGCCCGGTTTTCACACCGATGCCTCGGGAGCCAGACCTGCAAGCACCCTTGCTACCAGCAAGTGCACAGCCCACAGCTGGCCAGGGAAAGTGGAGCCAGCTGCCTGGGGCCTGAGCACAGGGGAGCTGGGCCCTGCCAAGGCTGCCGGAAGGAAAGCGCCATAGAGGTCCTCATGCTGGGGACAAGGCCGGGAACAGCTGGGACCATGGGGGACACAAGAGCCCCGGTTCCTTCACTGTCACCCCGTTCTCCCCACCCCGCTGCCGGGGGGTGACAGAGGCACCAGCCCAGCACAGCCACGTGCGTTGCCCCGTCCCTCCACTGGTTGAGCGCAGAGAAAGCTGAGAGCAGTGGGGGCCTGCTGACACACCTTCTGTGAAGGGCAGTTTAGGGCCAAGGACATGCGGCTGCTGTCAGAGTGCCTGCTCTGGGGACACCCAGGAGGTGCTGCTACCGTGCAGATGGCAATGGGAAGCCCCAGCTCCATCGACCTAATTACCACCCTTGAATCAACGCAGTGGATGCTGGAAGGCTGCGGTAAATGAGCACAAACGCAGTGGCCACAAAGAGCAGCCCCTGAGCCAGTTTTGGGGCCAAGCCTGCACCCACCCAGACTGCAGCAGAGCTGGTGGAGGACACCACTTCCACAGGAGAGGGAAGTGGGGCACTTACCGGGCCCAGGTTGAGGAATCCATGCTTCCTGGCCAGCCTGTCAGCCTCCTGGGGCCCCGCGGGGACGAGCACAGCCCAGGTGTTGGTGTAAATACACTGGGCCAGCACCTCCTGGGCCAGGAGAGCGAGGGCAACCACCAGTGTCCAGAGCAGGAGCAGCGAGCAGGGCCTCAGATCCATCAGAGTATCGGGGTTCCTCTAGCTGGGGAGCAGGAGCGTCCTGGGAGCGGCGGGTCCAGCGGCCTCCCTGCGTCAGTGCCCTGAGGCACGCCGGCCTTTCTGCCCCTCTGGCCCCTGCTCAGCCCAAGAGAGCATGGGGACGAGCCCACAACAGCCGGGCCGGAAGGCGGCAGCAGGAACAGACCGTCTGGGACAGCAGCACAACCTGCAGAGAGATTGGAAGAGCTGTCAGGCCCCGGGGCACCTCTCCTCAAACCCAGGGAGGGCAGGCGCCGCTGGACCAAGCCACGACTCCAGCACCGGGCAAGGCGGCCCGCTGTCCACTGCGGCTCACGGACAGCCATGTGGGACTGGCGGCTGGCTCCGCAGGGCACGCTGGCCCCAGCACAGAGCCGCTGTTTATCTTGCCTATTGCCCAATGTGTACTTACGCTCTGTGCTTACAAACATGGGAGACGAACCAGGAGGGGAGAAAGGCACCGAAGGAGGGGAGAGGCAAGGCAAGAGAAGCTGTGCCTCCTGCTGCCACAGTCTGTAGCAGACAAGAGCCCCTTCTCAGCTGGGACGGGCCTATCTGGGCACGGAGATGGGAGCAACCAGGATGGGAAGTCTGCCTCTCCAGTCCCAAGGGGAGATCTGAGGAGATGCCCCCAGACACTGTGCAAGGGACCCCAGCTAAATCAGGGACTGGATGGAAGAAAGCCAGGAAGAGCATAGCCCCAGGCCCCAGCACCTCCACAGTCAGCGATCAACCAGGCAGTGCCTGGTAGCAGGGCCAAGCGCTGTGCTGCCTGTCACCATCAGCAGCTCAGCTCTGCCCTTCCTCTGGAGCACAACATGGTGACACCAGTGTGACTCATCTCCAAAACAGAAAGGAAACCGGCACAGGGACCAGGAAAAGGGGTACACCGTCACCTCCAGCACACACCCAGAGACCTGCATGCAGGGATGCTTGGGGACAGGCACTGTGTTGGAGGGCGAACACAAGAAGCTGGGAAGGCAGATGGGGAGCAGAGCAGGGAGCGACCCACCCAGCGCAAAGGAGCCCACGACACAACAGTGCCAGTGTGAGCTCCATGCACAGAGCTCCACAAGGACCCTGAAATATCTGGCCATGTTTCAGAGACAGTGGGAAAGGTGAGAGCTGGCAGCACCCAGAGGAGCCCCACCCCCTCTGGCAAGCAGCGGCGGGGGGGACAGGGGAGGAGAGCAGCTCCTGGCAGCCGCCTGAGACCCCGTTGCAGGCTGCAGCAGACAGTGCTGCGATTCAGGCATACTGTGGCTCTCTCTCGGCGACCAGACCTTGGCCAGCTGTGTGCTCGGCCACCCTGGCGAGGCACCCGGAGACGTGAGTACCTGCCAGAGGCTGGACCAGAGTCCCTGGTCCCAGAACATGCCAGGGCCCAA